GGGGTGGATGACGGCAACAGGTCGGTGCAAACGGCTAACTTAATGGAGGATCCGACGCAATTTATTTTTCCCCTTTTTTTTTCTTTTTTTTTTTTCTTTTTTTTTTTTTTTGCAGAGGGAAAATATCAACTAGAGGATCCGACGCAATTTATTTTTCCCTTTTTTCTCATTTCAAAACTAGGCTATATTCTTTTCTCAATTTCACCTTTCACTTCCTACCCACTACTACTCCTAATAAGGCTATACGGGGGACCCCTGCGGGCATAGTTTCCTCCCACTAGGAAGGGAATACATGTTTTCTCTATTGAAAAAAAAAAAAAAAAAAAAAAAAAAAGAGGACCTTCTGAGCTGCTGCTCCCTTTATTTTTTTTTTAACTCATCTTTATTTCTGTTTCTAAATTACGAGGGTGGGACTAAGTGATAGGCGACTCGAAATTTCTGTGATTTCAAGTTGCCCCCAATACTCAAGGTCAAGCTCATCACTTCGCGGCTGGAAAGGCCAGCGGAGGAGGTAGTCCCCTCCGGCAGCGCCCACTCTATCACTATGTCAAACGGTTTTGTTTCCGTTAAGGAATAAGAAACGGGGGAGTAGACGGACACATTATCTGGTAGCCTAACCACCCTCCACCCTCCTCCTTCTCCTCCTCCTCCTCCTCCTCCTTCTCCTCCTCTTTCCTGTTTGATTGGCTCCTCGATCATCGACCTACCACCTAACGGCGAGTCAGTCATGGACTCGCCTCCATGCTGATTACGGTCATCAGCATTACGGCCACGTGTCGCTTCCTGTGAAGTCCGCAACCCGTATGATGTTCTGCGAGTCAGGACAAAGCCAGGCTCCAAGGAGAGCTCCTCTCTCGCTTTCTCTCTCAGGTACGCGGGAAGCTCCCCCACCTCTGCTATCGAGATCGTCTCGGTATCCTGGCAAGTCCAGGGGCTGCAAGCGTTCTGCTTCCCCTCTCTTGCCGCTTTCTCTCTTTCTTCTCCTTGGCTATGGCCGCTCCCCTCCTCCCCCTCCTCCTTCTCCTTTCTTTCTCCCTCCTCCTCCTCCTCCTCCTCCACCTCCTCCAACCCACTGCCCACCCTAGGGTTAACGTACTCCGTCCGCGTGTGCCGTTTCGTCTCCCGGCCGAACAATACTTTTGTCCATTTTCCGTTGATGTACTGTAAAACTATCCCGATCCTGCTATCCCGACGCGGGATAGCGACTTCGAGTCCCTGCCTGACAAACGGCGGGTCAGATGCAGGAGGGGCCATCGAAGGAGAACTCCCGGAAGTGGAACTTGCTGCTGCTGCTGCTGAGGGAGGTGAAGCGGACTCCTCCTCTCTCGACTCTCTCTCTCCTTTCTTCGTCTTCTCCCCCCCTCCCTCTTCTTTCCCTCCACGCCAATCTTTACCCAGCACCCGTAAGGCTGCTTCTTTTTCAAAAACCCCAACTTTCCCCCCCACCTCTGTGGTTTGGCTTCGTGTACTGTCCAGAGGATAAGACCCTGCAAGCAAGATTCGCCCGGGAAGAACGTACAGCTTATTTTGCGGGAAATAGGAATGGATAAGCTCCTTCCCCTCGTCATCGAACTTGATTTCAAAAGGGCCGTCTACTCTTTGCAGCTCCGAATTGGCGCCAAAAATAGTGTTCATATGCAAGAACCTGGAGTCCTCTGCCACATCATCTCTTGTCTGCTGCGAAGACGGTGACAGTGACGGAGATGGAGATGGAGACTGCCACAAGCTCCTGATGGCAAAGAGTTCAAGGATTTGCTCACCGCTCTGCACATCCCAACCTTTGAATAAGCAATGCCAATCTTCAGAGCCATGTCTCTTACCCTCGATCAGCATCTCCTTTGGCGGGAAAACCCGGCGCTCAAAGGTATCCGTCCCGACCGCCTTATCCATTCCTGTTTGTGCCTTGCTTCTGAGCGCGGCGGCTTCTGGCTGTGCTCTTGCTGCAGGACGTTGAGAAGCAGAAGAAGCAGAAGGAGATGAGAGAGAGAGAGAGAGCTAGTTACGGTTCTTCCTCCTCTCGGTCCTCCTCTCCCAACACTCAGAGCTGCCTCTCCTCCTTCCTCGCGCCCAATACGTTCCTCCTGCCAGTGGCCAGAATTCCGATATGCGGCAAGCGTCGGAGATAGCATCCCTCCCCGTTGTACTGCCGGCGACCGCTTGGCCGCACTTGCCATTGTCACCGCCTACCAGTAACCGTTCCCCACGCCGACCGGTAGTCCGTGGCCATCTGCCGATGAGCACAAGTGTCCGAGCGGCCATGGCCATTTAGCCTCGCCTACTGTAGTCCCCTCTCCTGTCCACATTCACGTTCTTATGTCCGGATGGGATCCGAATTCGTTTGCGTGGCAGTAGAACGCCCCACCAACTCCCTTGAGATAAAAGATGAGAAAATTGCATCACCAATGGGCCAAGCTCAGTTGTGACAAGTGTAATCCGAATACAAGACTCGAACACAACCAACGGCTCGGCAGGCAAACACCTAACCACAAGGCTACGTGGGCTGGGATGAAAGTGAAGGCCCAAGATGAGCACTTCACCCCACCCCAGAACGGAGATCCCGGGTCACCAACTCCCTTAAGATAAAAGAAGAGAAAATTGCATCGCCAATGGGCCAAGCTCAGTTGGTACAAGTGTAATCCGAATACAAGACTCGAACACAACCAACGGCTCGGCAGGCAAACACCTGACCACAAGGCTACGTGGGCTGGGATGAAAGTGAAGGCCCAAGATGAGCACTTCACCCCACCCCAGCACGGAGATCCCGCGACACGGTGTACCCAACCACACTCACCCCTACGCAGCCACACTGCACATAGTAAATCTCTACGGCGGTTACTTCACGAAAGCACGTGTAATCTGAATACAAGACTCGAACACACAACCAACGGCTAGGCAGGCAAACACCTAACCATAAGGCTAAGTGGTACAAGGCCACCCTATGTCAGATTAGACACAAGATTGAATTTACCTGAGCTGGTTAGTCCGATGATAATACCGCGATGATAATACCTCGAGGCCATCGCCCTTTTAAAAAAAAAAAAAAAAAAAAAGCTCAGTTGGTACACCCTCAAACTGTTAAATACAGACACGAGCTCGAATCAAGATGGAACTAGTTGAGTAAATTTCAGAACTACCCCGCCTATGATTCGTGCAGAAGTAAAATTTTCTATCAAACAGATGGTTACCACAGAATGGTCCATGAAAGTGCAGAACCCAAAAAAAAAAAAAAAAAGGGGCAGGGGGAAGAGCAAAAAAAAAAAGAAAGTGCAGAACAAGGGATATGCGTCTAAACCTTTGCCTAAGTTTCTACAACACTGGGAAGGATTTCTGAACCTGCTTCGAGTTCAGGAAGGGCAACGAGTGCCAACAACAACCGCCAGAGTTGATATTTTCATCTTTCTTTCTTTGACAGCACTGCTGAGATTCTATTTTTGGATCTTCTCTCTTTTCTTTGTGGGGAAACTATGTGGGAGTCACAAAAATGAGTTATAATTGCACTATGGGAGAACATACAGTTTCGAATTGCAGTTCGGGCAATGTATACAACCCAGCTTTCAGGCCAGGTAGGATGCCTGAAGTGCAATTGCAAACTGTATCTTGCCCCATAATGCAATTATAACTCCTTTTTGTGACTCTACTGAAGTTACCCCTTTTCTTTTTTCTTTTCTTTTTCTGCTTCTGTGCATCAGTACAGGCAGTACAGGCAGTACAGGCAGTGTGGGTACTTTTGTAGGTGCCTGCCTCAGAACAGGCAGTACAGGCAGTACAGGCAGTGTGGGTACTTTTGTAGGTGCCTGCCTCAATACAGGCAGTACAGGCAGTAGAGGCAGTGTGGGTACTTTCGTAGGTTTGTAAATTTGTGATGTAGTAGATTTGTTGTAGGTTTGTAGCTTTGTGTTACCTTTCAATTAGCAGATGGAAATTGGAAGTGGTATAAACACTGGGGTGCAGCAGCGTGCGCCGTGCATGTAGGAGATGAGGCATAGGAGATTGATGGGTACATCACACTAGGTGCCGCGTGGATTCTCAAGTCTCGGGCTCGCTATTGACATCGAGCACGAATTCTCGGGCTCGCTATTGACATCGAGCACGAATTCAGCCGTGGCTTACTGTCCACGTATACGCCCGCCGCCTGCTTGAGACGTGGACAGTAACGTATGGCCCGGAATGGGACCGGCTTCACGTATCAAGTCCGTTATCCAAACCTTACCTTCTGCTTCATCGAAGCCGTTCTTCGACTTTCGCGTGCTGCGCCCTCTGACCTGTGCCAACGATGCCTCTTTCAGAGGTCTCACCTTTCTCTTTTGTGAGGGACTCCGGGTTCTGGGCCTTGTAAAATAAGCTTCAATTTTTTTATAATAAATAAATAAATAAATTTCAGAACTATATCTCAAGGCTGTTAAACCACCAGTACCTCTCCCTGCTTGAAGAAATCGGAGCGTCGCGCAGGGTACCCACCCGCATGCAACCGGTAGTCCCCAAAAAACGGGGCCCAAAAAAAAAAAACAAAAAAAACAGGACGACGAAAATGAAAAGTAACAGCCTGAAACAAACAGGAGCAGCGGGACGGGGGAAAGGGGGGAAGAACGAGAGAGAGAGAGAGAGAGAGAGAGAGAGAGAGAGAGAGAGAGAGAGAGAGAGAGAGAGAGAGAGACTCTCTCTCTCTCTCTCTCTCTCTCACAAGAATGAATCTTCCTCTTTATCGAGGAAGATTCATTCTTGTTGGGCATGTCTCTTTTCCTTTTGTTTTTTTTGTTTTTTTTTTGCAGAATAATGTATGTTTTTTTGTGTTCTTTTGTTTTTTTTTTCCCCGTTGTGTACTAAAGGCTCAGCAATAAAGTCCGAGGCTCGGCAATGACCTGGCTACCGGTAGCCTGAGCCACAGGCCTTGACAACCAGTAGGTGCTGGTGGTTTAAGCCGCACTCAGCAGGTATTGGGTTCAATCCCCCTTGACCTCATGTAGCCTCCTGGGCAAGCATATCGCCTGCCACCTAGAGATAGCCCTTCCGTCCCCCGAGCAGCATTGAGCAGTTACTCGCAATATTCATAGGGGGAGAGGACCACAGAGGAGGGACAGCAACTCACCCATCGAAGAAGCTTGGTCCTAACGCTGGGGCCTCCTACAAGTTAACCCTGTGCCTTCAAAAAAAAAAAAAACAGCATGGGAAGTCTGTGATAAACAAAATTTGAAAAAAACAATTTGGG